GACAAGCAAGCTTCACTTTTTTTCCACTACGAAGTACACGGGCGCTGCTTGTACGAAATTCCGTTTGTATGAAGCATGTCACGCCGATGGAAAAATCCTTGAGTCATCTCACATCTTTGTGGATTCTATTCAAATACTCATGACGAGGTACCTAATTTTCTTTGTACAGATGCCACTTATAACAATCAAGTGTAAAACGTGCATACGTGTGACGTATTCGTGAAATTTTAATGGACTATGTGCAAAAAACGACCAGAATCGATGCTTTTTCATTGATTTCAAACACTTTTTATGCTATATCTCAGGAACCACCCAACCGATTTTTATAATTCACCCACGTTGATAGAATTTTTATTTGGACGTCATCTGAACAAACTAATGATGCAGTTTGGTTTGTATTACGGTCCTCCAAAATCGTGCATTCAAAACCCCAAAAGTTCATCACCAAAAAATTCAGGCATCATCAAAAAATTGTTGTACTGTGTTTTGATTAATAATTTTCAAAGTCACTATTAACCAACTATTAACGTTAATAGAACGAGAATACTCCCCTCGACTCTGTTACATTGTCATTCCACCAATCAATGAACTGAGCCAAATCTGCATTAGCCATACATTACGCCGACAACGGCCCTTTAAATCCATCAAAAAACTCACCTGCATCGATCCAGATGCACAATCCAAATGCGCCTCGGTTCGATTCAAGACAATGAGCGGACTCAAATCATCTAATTGTGTGATCTGAAATGGGAAAATTATGCATTCAAGTTTAAGTTAATGAAAACTTTTTACTTAAAAGTCGTATAGACGCCAAATGTTGAGAAAATGAGATAAAAACTATTAAATTACCGCGATCGTTGTGAAGCCAAATTGGCCAATATTTGATTTGGTCGACCAAAAACGGAATGAAAAGAAAAAAGAAGAGACACGATCGGTCAACATAGTATGCAGTGCATACACAGAATGATATGGATGACCGAGAAAAAATCAAATTTCATCAAATCAAATGGCAACTTTGATTACATAATCGTAACATAATAATTGACAGAAAGCAAATATCAACATTCCGATTAGCTTACGGCTGTCACTGCAATGTTTTTTCCGTTCGCTTGCCATCGTTCAGTTCAATGTTAATGTCAAACATTTTCCCAAGATTTTCGCCCCGGTACAAACGACAACGAAAAACGGGGCAACAAAATCACGATAGACACAACTGATTAAAAAAGCAGCAATGCTTGCGGTGTTGAATGCTTTTTTGTCGTCGTTGTTTGTTGAAATTCCATAATTTGTTCGTTCTTATTACTTACTTTTCCATCAAGTGTCGCTTCTTTGGGCAAACCTTCACCTAAGTAGTTGATGTTGTTGGCATGCGATGCATAGTTTGACTGGCCGACGGCATTCTGTACCAGTAAAATAGCGATTAGCACGAACGTGCAAGACCACATCATTCGTTTTATCATTCTGGGCCGAATTTTATCTGTAAAAAAGAAAAAAAAAAACGTACAATTATCTATCATACAAATGTTTGAAATGGCAACAATTTAAAGTAAAATAATTTCAATGGTCTTTATACAATATACACTTAACAAGTGAATCAACAAACAAATGCAATAACAATAGCGTTTCGCCCCTAGGTGCGAGCGGTTACTGACCAATGTCGGATTAATGACCAAAATCACTAAACTGTAAGAAGAATTACGTTTTATAAAGGAAAATGGCATCGCAATCGATCTTTTTTGCAAAAAGTATATTGAAGAAAGCAAGAATTCGAGATGTTAAAATTTTGGAGTGAGGAATCTTCACAAACCATTCGTTTCATTCGATAATTTCAGTATTGTTCGAATGATTCTCAAATATGTGTTTGTTAAATTCTGATTTGCCGCTAGTGAAGACATGATGTCCATCACATCTTCTCGACCTGGTGACGTATGTAGCAAGCATGAACAAATGAAAGAATTGATCGACATTGTCAGTGGAATATCGACGCATTTCAATCGATCAGGTCTGCGATTACAAATAAAATATCAAACTTTACTTAGTGTACACTTTTTTAAGCATTACTAGTCGCAATGAAACATACAGTGAGTTAGTTTACACACAGAAAAGAATCCCCGGAAATTTTGGGTGTTCGCCGTAAAATTTGACATTTATATATAAATTTCTATATACATTTTACCGGCAACACTTGAATTTTCCGAGCGATGACATAATTTCAAATATTCCAACAGAAAGTAGCGCCATCTGTCATTTCAAGCGGTAAAATATATATAGTATTTGATAAAATGTTCCTATATATAGTATTTGGAAATTTTCAGAAAAAAAAACGCATATACAGTAGAAAAATGAAGTATCGGAATCAAAATTTTATTTTTTAATACGCTTAAGCGTAGAGAAAGATCGCTCTGGTGTGGCAATGGTAATACACACTAAAAAATATCTATAAGAATCTACACGATGATACCAAACAAACATAGATTTATATGACAAATCGTGTAAAAACGATAAAATATCATGTAATTTCAAATAAATCAATGAATTGGTCAATACTATTACCCGATATACGCATCTGTCAAATGTTTGCGTCAACTTTGAAACATTAAAAATTACACGATATTTTAATGTTTAACGCCATACGTCATATAAATCCCATTTTGATTGTTATTATCGTGCAAATTCTTACAGATATTTTTGAGTGTGTAGGTATCGTGGCCAAAGTTTTCAACATATTATTATATATGTTTGGAAATATTGGATTATTGCACACGTTTAGTGACGAAATGAAATTTTTCGGTCTTTCTTCTGTTGAAACCCATTTCTGTTGCCACAACAGAGCTTCTTTCTTCACAATATTTTCGTTGTCATATTCAGTGTTTGGCCATTGCTTCAATATCATTTCAACGGTTTCATTTGTTTCTTTTTCTGTCCAACAAGTAATAAAATTGGGCAAAATATTCTGTATTTTATTCAAAATATCTCAATGTTTTACAAACCGTTGTTGCATATGACATGATCAAGGAGAGGTATAAAAATGGGCAATCTATAATACTCTTCGGCAGAAGTGCACGCATAGTTATCTCGATTGCATTGCTGGCTTACTACTCTCGGTATTGTGATGTTTACACCGATTTCGCTTGGCATTTTTTCGGCGACGGTAAACAAATCATGAAATATAATAAACAAAGGCTTATTGAAATCAATTTGCCTCTACTGCTTAAATCAGTCTACTTATAGCAACGTATGACATATTTGTAGAAGTTTTGTTATGCCGAATGCTATTAAAACACAGATAAGTTTGAATTCAAAGAAAGTAATGTAATATTGATGACCATCGAAAAACACATTGATTTTGGCTGCATTTGCTGGTTTATTCAAATCATTCGGACATGCTTCACAACAAAAGAAATGGAAAATAAATGAATTGATTAACACTCACCCACGTTATAATCGAGTCACATCTGATTCAGACGAAATCCGATTTTGTATTAATCATTTGAAAAAAAAATCAACTCCATTTCATTTCGGGGGGGGGGGGGTTTGAACCCCCAAACCCCCCCTGGATACGCCACTGGTACGCAACCATTCTTATGTTTGTATTTATTTCTATATTTGGAACACACACACTGTTATATCGACCGAAAGTGTATTTGTTTAAATTTGAATTCGCCGAATACACTATTAACATCTTTTTATTACTGGGGATCAAAAATGTGTGCGAATTATGAATAGAGCAATAATTTTGAAATGATGATAAATATTTATAACTGAATCTATTGGAAAAAAAACTAGTGAATATTTTAGTAAATTTCCTAACCGCTTACATTCTGATTACTAAATCTTAGTTGATTCCTACTATTTGTTTGACCATTCTCAGCTAATCTTTCTCTCAAATAAGCGAACGTTTTTAAAGAACGAGGAGAACGGTTGCATTCTTGAAATCTTTGACATTAGCTGTTTACACCACACAAATACGTGTGGTGGATTGAAATATATCAACAATGAACTATAATGAAATTTAGTACACCACCTCCATCGAATATTTAAACAACGTTCAGAAACTTTGAAAACCCGAAAATAAAACACGTTTATATCACATTATTCTCTTTCTATTTCATTTTGTGTGATTTTATGCTTGTTTTTCATCGCAGTTTTTCATGTTTTTGTTTCTATTTGTATTTTTTTAATATTCTTCCTAATTTATCAAAAGCAAAAAGCATTGATTGAGAGAGAGAGAAATAAGCGAAGATTTCAGAATATTTCAGAAAAAAAGTAAACAATGTCTTTGCATAGGATCACATAATAAAATGTTTATTGAAAATATTTTGGATGATTCTAGAACATTCCAATGCATTAACTATTCCGCATTTGAGTCACAATCGGATGATGATGCTTCACCGAAGTAGTTATTGAGAAAAGCGGCTGGTCGATGCATTCTGGATGGTTCCTTAATGTGTAAAGTGAACCAAATGATACACATCACGTGGGAGCAGCAGCCGACGGTGCGTAGCCCGTTGTAGCAGCTACAACAATAGCTCAGCACGACATTTTCTCCTTGCGCAAGAGTATCAATTAAAATGAACGCATCGTGTGACTTATTGCTACGAAAACGGGATTTTGGGCGTGCCATCAACAGCTTTAGCTGCTTGCCATCGGTAAAGAAATCAGCGAAAAATCTTGTCATCAGATTATTAGGGCACTCGAAAACGGCAAATTCGAACTGATTTGATTTAAAATGGTCTTGGCAATAAGAGGCTGCTTGTCTGATTTGATCAATCCAAACGAGTTCGGCTTCCGTCAATGTTGGCAGCTGATCAAATTCACGAAATCGGTTAAACTGCGGAAGATTGTTTCGAAATATGTGAACAATCTTCGATAGTCGATTCGGGGTATCAGAACGGTCTAGCATTCGCCTACCGATTTCAATGGCCATTCCTTTATTCGATTCGATGGTTTTGAAATAAACATTAATCAGAGCTGCACAAATTCTGAAATCGGCCATGAGGTGTTGAAGTGCAATTGGATTCCACTAAAATCTCGCCACATACATTCTTTTTCAGTGCAACAAATGCTAAATCACTTACTATCCTTTTACTTGAACTGGTTAAAATTAACATGCTTCGTTTTTAAGCCACCGCAATACAAAAAACTTACTTTCTTCTATCGCAACCAAAGTCTATTGAAACTTACATCCCTTTATTATTAACAAAATCGACTGAAATACATGCATTCTTTTTGTTAAATTTACTTGGCCATAAACATGCATTCTTTTTTTCAAGATGCTTCCATTCAAAATAAATAGTCTTACCTCCGTAAGACGAACTTTTCCGCACCGTTTTCATAGCGTTCAGCTTTTATTCAGACTTTGCCTAGGAAATTTATAAGAATTTTTAGAAAAAAAACAACAGTACGTTCATGTATTTTATGGAAAATTGTATTATGATTCCGAGAATCTTGATGTTGGGTATTCAAATGAAATGAAACGTCTGATTGTCTTTATTGTCGTCTGAATACTGAAACTTTATTCTACTCTCTTTCAAAAATGCAAAATAATCAAGTATTGAAAAAACTGAACTTTAATCGAAGAACTGCAAATCAGTCAAATATTTGGAGAATGAACTGTGATTTTAATTAAATCAAAAAATGTGGACGGAAATAATAAGCTATCTCGACAAAATGTTTAATAAGCAAGTTGAATGAACTAATTTTTTTTGTTTCTTTTTTGATGAAATTAGACAAAAGTTACCAAACCGAAATCAATTGGTCATTATTGCGATACAACACTTGAAACAAGTATCCAAAAACTTAGACAAAAACAAAAATGTGTGTATTATTTATTGTGGAAACAGCTGTAGTTTGTTTCGTATATTCTTTTGATGTAGTTTCGTAGTTCGCTGGTATTTTTTAAATTATCTGTTTCATGCTGATTGATTTTTAGATGGTATGTTGCAGGGTTGTGTCCCAAAATGATGGTTGTGGCGTATGCAATCGAGAAAATGCCACAGGAACATCCATCTGGTTGCAACGTTGCCGGTTCGATGAATTGATACTGTGCTCCGGGGTACAGGCGAGTGAGGATGTATCGTTAATAAACGTCCAATCTTTTGCCATGATTGCCCTCCCCGTGTAGACTGTCATAAATCTTCACACGATTTTCAGCATAGATATAGTGCTAGACATAGCTGGCGTGGCCGCTGTATATTATTTGCAGATCGTCTCGTTCGGCTAGAAGTCGTTTGTATCACTCTTGTTTTTGTCCATAGCAGACTGGATGCACGTTGAATGGTATGGTTCTGTTTGCGTTCACCAAATTTATAATGAACATATCGATTGACAAATCATTTAAGAATTCTGTTCCAACAATTTGATTTGTGATTGATTCTAGATCTGTATTCTTTGTAGTTTCACACAAGTCTTCGATTTTGTAGTAAAATTCATCCTCTTCCAACTCGGGAAAATCCACATTGTTGAGAATAAATGAGA